TGTGCAGGGACCCTGGGATGCTGTTGTTGGAGACATTCTTTCCGATGGTGGTAAACACAGGTCCAGAGCCTGACCCACTTTCCCGACGCCTGGGTACGTGAAGTGTCCCAAGGTCTGTCTGTGGTGTTGATTTGGGGCAGTTTCTAACCTTCGTTACAAAGAGCGTATTGTTTTTGTGGAGCTGGGGATGGAACTCGGGGCCTCACACATCCCAACGAGGTGTTTACCTACTGAACTGTATACTTCTAGTTCCTAGTTATTCTGTATGGCTTACTAGGTGCGATTTAAAAGTACGTTTTTTTGTCGTGCATGGATATTTTGTCTGCATGGATGTCTGTGTACCACGTGTGTGCAGTACCCCACGGAGGCCAGAAGGGGGCGTTAAACCCCCCCCTACACCATGTGGGTGCTGGAATCGAACCCAGTCCTCTGGAAGAGCAGCAAGTGGGCATCGCTCCAGAGGTGCATTTTTTTTTAAGGAGGTCACTGTTTCATTTTATTTTAATCATAAAAAGGAGTATTTCTGTAATTCACAATGTGACAGATCCTGAACACTTTAGGTATGAAATATTGTTCATCAACTTTCTCTTCAAATTGACTTTTAAAAAACAGCATGACTTTTAAAAGTTGTAGTATAATAATGTGGCGTGAGTTAATTTCATAATGTTAATTTAGGACACATATAAATGCAGATATTCTCTAGAACAATAACAGCATTAAAGTGTAATTCCTTAAGAATTCACGAGGAAAGGGTGACAGGATTGAAGTCTTTTCCAGGCATTTTAAATTTCCTGTAACACTCTTTATCCCAAGACTCATCATCTAAGCGTGGCACACAAAGTATACTGAATACATTGTTTTTGTGTGGAGGTGGGGAAACAGAAATGGTCATTTTCATATAATAAAATCTTCTGGTTGCTCTTGGTTGTTGTCGTGGAGCATCCTGTCGAAAGGCCTATCGTTGAAGAAAAAGACGCCATGGCTTTCAGCTGCTGGCTGGTATTCCCATTCCATGTGGGCTAGGAAGCCACTTCCCGAGTCCGAGCCCGGGCCCCCGCCAGAGCCGGAGCCGGAGCCGGAACCAGGGCCCGAACTAGAGCTGGATCCTGAACCCGAGCCAGAGCCGGAGCCGGGGCCCAGTCCAGAGCCAGAGCCTGAATCTGAGCCGGAGCCAAAGCCAGAACCTGGGCCCAAGCCGGAGCCAGAGCCTAAGCAGGAGCCCGAAACCGAACCCAAGGCAGAGCCAGAGTTGGAGCCCGGCCAGAATAGTCTTCAGAAACAGAAGGAAGTCATTTGGACTCTTCTCACCCTTCTCACCCAGCACTCAGAGGCAGAAAGAAGTAGGCTGATCTTTGTGAGTTCAAGTCCGACATGTTGTACATAGCAAGTTCAGAGATGGCCTAGCAAAAAGGTGAAATCAGACAGGGTTTGTCACTGGAGGGTCGGTGTTGTGGGATCCAACTGAGATGAGGTCAAACAGGGGTCCCCTCCGCTCCCTGCAGTTTGCAGAGATGCTAGCGGGGTGGCAGCGCAGGGGTCCCCTCCGCTCCCTGCAGTTTGCAGAGATGCTAGCGGGGTGGCAGCGCAGGGGTCCCCTCCGCTCCCTGCAGTTTGCAGAGATGCTAGCGGGGTGGCAGCGCAGGGGTCCCCTCCGCTCCCTGCAGTTTGCAGAGATGCTAGCGGGGTGGCAGCGCAGGGGTCCCCTCCGCTCCCTGCAGTTTGCAGAGATGCTAGCGGGGTGGCAGCGCAGGGGTCCCCTCCGCTCCCTGCAGTTTGCAGAGATGCTAGCGGGGTGGCAGCGCAGGGGTCCCCTCCGCTCCCTGCAGTTTGCAGAGATGCTAGCGGGGTGGCAGCGCAGGGGTCCCCTCCGCTCCCTGCAGTTTGCAGAGATGCTAGCGGGGTGGCAGCGCAGGGGTCCCCTCCGCTCCCTGCAGTTTGCAGAGATGCTAGCGGGGTGGCAGCGCAGGGGTCCCCTCCGCTCCCTGCAGTTTGCAGAGATGCTAGCGGGGTGGCAGCGCAGGGGTCCCCTCCGCTCCCTGCAGTTTGCAGAGATGCTAGCGGGAGGTGCAATTTTTAAGGAATGAAACATTAGTGCCTGTGAGATGGCTTTGAGTGGTGGCCCTGGCAAAACAAGACACCAGAGTTTGATCCTCGGGGCCCACTTGGAAAGAGAGATGGACTCCTGTACATTGTCATCTTAACCTCCACACATGCGCACAGCACACTTCTCCCCTACCCTACTGGACACATAAAATTAAAAAAAATTAATTAAAAAAATGTAAATCAAAAAGAAGAAGTAAATGGAACATTAGTTCCCGGTTTATAGAGTCTTTTTCGTGTTTGAACGTTTTGCATTTTTCAGGGATTGAGAAACTTTTACAGAGTACCCAGTTTTCATTACCAGCTCCCAAACTAGGTGGCTCACAACCACTCAACACTTCAGCTGCCCCGCATCCGATTGGTCTCTGAGGGCCTTGTACTTACATGAGCCCATCTGGACACATACATAATTAATAGTAATAAAAATTATTTCTTTAAATGTTTGCATTTTTAGTTGTCATAGCATTGACCCTTTTAGCCCTGTAAGTCACTAGGTCTTAGTACGTTTGCAAGTTTGTGCAACCACGGAACCAGCATTTGCTCACCCTCACGTAGGGAACGACTGATCAGCAATTAAGAGCACTTGCTGCTCCTGCAGAGGGCTTGAGTTCAGGACTCCGAACACACATGGACTCACAGTGACCTGTAGCTCCAGTGCCTGGAGATTGGAAGCCTCTTCTGGGCTCCCCTGGCACGGCACACTCGGTGCACATGCAGGCACACTCTCTCACACACACGCAGAACACACATAAACAAAGCCTGTTCCTTTCTAAGGAGAGACAGAAAGGGAGAAGATCCGGATGGGAGGGGAGGGGGAGCAAAACTAGGAGAAGCAGAGGGAGAGTAACTGAAATCAAAAAGAAAATATAGTTTCAGTAAAAAAAAAAAGAAAAAACTATAGTCAATATTTGGAAGGCCAAGAAATAATCCTATATTATTATTCAAAACCACTAAATGGCCACTTAAAACTTTTCATGAAATTGGGCAACCCTTCATTTCCATAATACGCCTCTGGGTGGGCCTCTCTGGACATTTCCCACAGATGGGATTATATGCTGCATGGTCTTCAGTGACTGCCTTTTTTCACCTGGTGTGTTCTCAAGATTCCTTTGCTGTAATGTGTCTCTATTCCTTTCCCTCCTGTGGTAATCATTTTTCATTGTGTGGATCCACCCCTCAGCTGGTGTGAACACCTTCTGGCTGTGACGAACAAATAAGCTGCTGTGAAAACTCGGTTAGAAATGCTGTGTGGACTATGTTTTCAGTTCTCTTGGGTGTGTACCTGGGCGTGGAATTGCTGGGTCCTGAGGCAAAGAGCTCTATTTGCCTTTGGGAGGAATGCATGGCCTCTGTCCAGAGTGTCTGCATGGTCTTCTTCAATAGCAAGGCAGGAAGGACAGTTTGGATTTCTCCCAACATGTATATATATATATTATTTTGGACAGGATCTTACGTAGCTCTGACGGACTTTAAAGATGATCTCTCCTTGAGTCTCTTGCCCTTCTCCCAGAGGTGCTAAGATTACAGATTTGCATTATGGAGCCCTTTCTTTAAAAAAAAAAATCCTATTGATTTATTTAGCTAGTGTGCTGGCTAATTTTATGCCAAGTTGACACAGGCTAGAGTCATCTGAGAGAAGGGAACCCCAACTGAGAAAATGGCTCCATAAGACTCAGCTGTAGGCAAGCCGGTAGGGCATTTCTTAATTAGCGATTGATGGAGGCGGGGTCCAGTCCATTTGTGGGTGGTGCCATCCCTGGGTTCTATAAGAAGGCTGAGCTAGCCGAGGCAGGCAAGCAAGCAGCGCTGCTCCTCGTGACCTCTGCATCAGCTCCTGTCCCCCAGGTTCCTGTCCTGTTTGAGTTCCTGTC